AGACTGTCCCTAGGGCTGAATACTATGCTTGCCTGATGGCGGTCAAGTGTGCGGGTTGTTCGGTGCACATCGTCTCTGACCATCTGTCCGCTGTCAAGACAACCTCAGCATGGGGACCCCATAACGAGTCGGCTCGCTCCCGGCATGCTTCGGTCTGGAGGTACATGCATGTTGCCAGTGGTAGCTCGGACGTGCCCGCACATCGTTCTGCTGAAGATGTACTGGCCGATTTTTCCGCAGATATTCAAGGTTTTGTTGGCAATGAGTGGGCTGACCATTTTGCGAGAAAAGGCGCTAGGTCTCACATGGTTGCCCAGGTGCTCCAGGACGTCCATCGGCAGCGTTTAGTCGAGGCCCAGAAGGACGCTCAAGTGTTTTCATGGATGGCCCGCACAGTGGCACGGAGGGTCGATGAGCTCCAGCCGCGCGCTGGTGCACCGGCGCCCAGACGAGCACCCCCTCCTGCCACAATTGTGGCCCTTGAGACCCATGAGTTCATGGTTTGCGACCGGCTTTCTGAACATCGTTGTCGCGTCTGCAACCATTGGGCTCGGACCCCTGCCTCCTTGAAGGCGCTGCGCGCGCGTCCCTGCGCGCCCTCCCCTTTGCAGCGTGCCTCGGCGGCCAGGTACTTCAATCTCACTCCTGAGACCTACCGCCACACCTCGGCCGCAGTTGCCGAAGCCATGCGTGCTGCCCGTGACCTCGAGGAGGCGTTTGGCCCCGAGGCAAGGCACGTCGAGGGGGAGCGGGTTGATGTCGTCGCCGTCGGGGGGGTCGACGGGGAGGTGGATTTGTGCAAGAAATTGGGCCACGTTGCCAAAAGGTTCGGCTCGGTGGTCGTCTGTCTTGCGTGTGGTGCCTATTCCGTTGCCGGCGGCCGCAACAAGAAGTTGCAGCAACCCAGATGCAAAGAGCATTCGGACGTTCCGTCCACTCGCGCCAACGAGGAGATGCATATCTCTCGTGCGATGCGCGGTCTTCATCCTCGCACTGGTGCCTCTTGTGCTTAGTGCCACCCTCGACGCCTAGTCTCCTCTGTTGGCTTGGCCGATGAGGTGGGGACGCAGCTGTTGAGGAAGAACTGTGCGTTGCAGCGAGCCTCATGCCCTGCAGTGCAGCTTCTGTGTTTCACGCCGCTGGGATGGGTCCGTTAGTTCGGATTCGCGCTTCCATCGCTCGGTACCTCCTCCTCCTCCTCCTCCTCCTGCTCCTCCTCCTCCTCCTCTCCTCCTCCGTCCTCCTCCTCCTCCTCCTCCTCGTCCTCCTCCCCTCCTCCTCCTCCTCCTCCTCCTCCTTCCCTCCTCCTCCTCCTCCTCCTCCTCCTCCTCCTCTCCTCTCTCCTCCTGCTCCTCGTCCTCCTCCTCCTTCTCCTCCTCCTCCTCCTCCTCCTCCTCGTCCTCCTCCTCCTCCTCCTCCTGCTCCTCCTCCTCCTCCTCCTCCTCCTCCTCGCTCTCCTTCTCCTGCTCGTCCTCCTCGTGCTCCTCCCCCCGTTAGGCAACAGCTCTCGCGAGGAGGCCGTCAGTTTTTGGCGGACCGAGCGAGGACCCAGGCCGAGCGAACGGGTGGAACCGACGTCTTGGATAATGGGTAATGTGGGTGTGGGGGGTGCACCGTCGGTGGGCCCTGGCAGGGACGGCACCACCCTGCCTGGGAACAAACAGTTCTCCTCGGATGGCCCCCCCCCCAAATCTTCTGTGTCCCTCTCCCCCTTAAATTCCCCTTCCATGGGCAGTGAACCTCCTCCTCCCCCTTCTCCGTCTCAGGATAGCACGCGATCGCAGGGCGTAGGGTCATGGCGATCGGGTGGATGTGGACCGGGGGGGGCGGGTGGGGGGGCGTCACAAGCTCAGATGTTTTCGCCCGTCAGCCAGCTAGGCCAGAGGAGGAGGAGGAGGAGGAGAAGGAGGAGGAGGAGCAGCAGGAGGAGAGCGAGGAGGTGATGGCGTTGGGGATGCCATAACAGGCTCATTCCCAAATAGTGTTTGCACTTAGGGGCTTTTATTCATCTCAATACTGAATTGGTTGGGTTCGGTTGGGCTCGGCGAGGACTTTCCACGTTGCCGCCCGTGGCTGCCTCGTGCGCCGGGTAGGTCCGGCGAAGTTTTGCCGCGTTGCCGCCAGTGGCCGCCTCGTGGCCACCTCGTGCGTTGGGTGGGTCGGGCGAGGTTTTACCACATTGCCGCCCCGGGCCGCTTGTGGCCGCCTGGTGCGCTGGGAGGGTCCGTCGAGGTTTCGCCACGTTGCCACTCGTGGCCGCCTCGTGGTCGCCTGGTGCTCTGGGAGGGTCCGGCGAGGTTTCGCCACGTTTCCGCCCGTGGCCGCCTGGTGGCCGCCTCTAGCATGCTCCACGTCGACTGCACCACATAGCTTGCAACACAGCTCACACATCCAATGTGCAATAACTTTCTGTCTGGGGCCCACGCTGGCGAGACTCGGGGACTTCACTCCGGGGATGTGTCCACTTGCCAAGGTCTAAAGGTCGTGCGTGGTCGTGGAG